ATAGCTCCAATTCGGTCCCAATTGGCCCCTAATTGAGTTGACTTAATTACATTCTAAACCAACCCAATTACAACTAAAACTACTTCGATCTAGACAAATATTACAAAGTATTAATCATATGTTATCCGGCATGTAATTAGTTCATCGGCGCTTCATCTAATCCTTCGGCGCATCGTCCTCTTTACGACCTTTTGCCCAATCGGCATGTTGATCTCTGTAACTCCGATCTCTTTAGCGTAATGTCCGCTCTTCTAAGCCCGATGCCCGAACTTATGGTATGAAGCCTTCTGCCGATATGTCGACTAATCCTCCGGCTCGACATCCAATCTTCTAACATGTTTTACTCTGACCCAACATTAATTCTTTCTGCTTTAATTATCTCTTCATGATCGAAGCTAGTCCTATATCACTTAAAACACAAATTAGATCATTAACTCTATCAATTGGTTTTATCATCAAAATCTGAGATTCAATAAGATGGGCATTGGAAAAGGAACTACAAGGAGTACGTTATAGAAAATACAAAATAGAAGCTTAGAGAAGCTTCAAGTACATTCATGATTAGTCTCCATTTGTCATAATCTTATGATAACACATGGATATTGGATACTGGTAGTGCTTATCACATCCATAATTTGTTGCAAGTCCTAGCAAGACTTAGGAGATTTGCGAGAGGCAATATGAACCTCAAGATGGGCAGTGGAGCAAAAGTTGCTACAGTAGCTATTGGCAAGGTCACCCTATATTTACTTGGTGGAGCTATTATTACATTGGATGCATGCTATTTTATTCCTTCTATTATCAAAAATATTATTTTCATTTCATGTTTGATAGTTAGTAGATATAAATTAGTTTTTGAGAACAATGATTGTTCAATATTATTAGATGATAAGATTCTAATGAAAAGAACATTGCATAATAGTTTTTTTTATGTTAGACACTACTCCATATATTATGAATGTAAGTGAGTCTAAGAGGAAACAACATGAGGTATACAATACATACCTATGACATTGTAGGCTAGGTCATATCCATGAGAGAAGGATTCAAAAGTTTCTAAAGGATGAATACCTATATCCATTTGATTATGAGTCATATGCAACTTGTGAGCCTTGCCTTCATGGAAAATTGATCAACTCTTCATTTAATAGAACTAGAGAGAGAGCAACTGAGTTATTGGAACTCATACATAGTGATGTATGTAGTCCCATGTTAACTTATGACATAAGTGTTTACTCCTACTTCATTATTTTTATTGATGATTTCTCAAGGTATGGACATGTATATTTAATAAAATAAAAGTCCGATGCTTTGGAGAAATTCAGGGAGTATAAGAATGAAGTAAAGAACCAGATTGAAAAAAATATCAAGACTCTTCGATCAAATCGAGAAGGTGAGTACTTGAGTATATAATTCACACAGTTCCTCAAGGATCATTAGATTATATCCCAATGGATACCTTCTTATACATCTCAGCTCAATGGTATATTCAAAAGGAGAAATCATACACTGTTAGACATGGTGCAATCCACGATGAGTTTCATTGACCTATCCATTTCATTCTAGGGATATGCCATAGAGACCGTAACTTACCTTTTAAACATAATTCTAACTAAGTAGTATATACTCTATATGAGATATAAAAAAGGAAGAAGCACGATCTTAAGGTTATTAAGATTTGGGGCTACCCTACCCACATTAAGAGACACAACCGTAACAATTTGGAATCCAAGATAGAGTGGTACAAGTTTGTGTGATACACCAAAGAAACTTTTGAGAATTATTTTTATCACCAAAAGGATTAAAAAGTCTTTGTAGCTAAGAGAGTAGTGTTCCTTGAGAAGGAACACATTTTTAGTGGAGATAGTAGGAGCATGATAGAGTTGAGCAAGGTTAGAGAATCTAGCTCAAATAGCACTCCACAACTTGAGTCTATTTAGGTACCTAGTACACATCCAACTTTATGTAAATCAGACAGAATATCTCATCCTCCTGAGAGATATGTGAGACATAATAGAGAAGAGGATATTGAGGATATTTATCCTCAAACCTACGAATAGATGAGTATAGACTTTGGGAAGTGGCAAGAGACCATAATTTCTAAGATGGATTCTATGTACTCCAACAAGATTTGAAACCTAGTTGATGCACTAGAGGGTATTGTACACATTAGTTGTAAGTAGATCTTTAAGAAGAATGTCAGAGTAGATGAAACTATAAAGACCTATAAAGTAAGACTAGTGGCTAAGGAGTATTGTCAAAGACAATGTGTTGATTATAACGAAACCTTTTTACTCATTGTCATGCTCAAATCTATCCAAATTCTATTAGCTATTGCAGCACATTATGATTATGAAATCTGATAAATGGATGTGAAAATTGTATTCCTCAGTAGCAACCATGATGATGAGGTGTATATGATACAGCCCGAGGGATTCGTATCTAAGGATAGTTCAGATGAGGTGTACAAGTTGCTTAAGTCTATCTATGGACTGAAGCAAGCTTCCCGAAGTTGGAAGAAAAGATTTGATAAGGCGATCAAATCATATGACTTCATTAAGAATAAAGATGAGCCTTATGTACATAGGAAGGTAAGTGGGAGCGCTATCACCTTCTTGGTGTTATATGTAGATGACATCCTAATAATTGGGAATGATATAGGAATGCTCTTCATAGTAAAGGCTTAGCTATCTAGACATTTCTCCAAGAAGGATTTAGGGGAAGCATCCTACATATTGGGGATTCAGATTTATAGAGATAGATCTAAGAGAATACTTGGCTTATCCCTGTTCAGGTATATAGACACCATTGTCAAAAGGTTTGACAATGAAAATTTCAAAAGAGGTCTCATACCGATAAGACATAGGATATCGCTTTCTAGGAATATCTCAAAGACTCTTAAAGAAAGAGTAGACATAGATATGATACCCTATGCCTTAACGATAAGGTCTATCATATATGTTATACTATGTATCAGGTCTGATATAGTGCATACTCTTAGTGTCACAAGCAAATATCAAGCGGATCCAAGCTTAGAACATTAAAAGTAGTAAAATGAATCCTTAAGTACTTAAGAAGGACTAAGGATCTTTTATCAATATATAAAGGAAATAGCCTTAGGGTTGAGGGCTACACGAACTCGAGCTTCCAGTCCGATGTCGATGAAAGCAAGTCTAATTATGGGTATATGTTCATCCTGAATGGAGGAGCAGTATGCTAAAAGATTTACAAGCAAAATACTACTACTAACTCGACCATAGAGGTAGAGTACATTGTTGCGGTAGAGGCAACAAAGGAGGGAGTCTTGATAAAGAAGTTCATCATAGATCTAGGAGTCGTGCTAGACAATAAGCAGTCGATTCACTTATATTATGATAACAACGGAGTAATTACTCATGCAAAGGAACCCAAGTCTCATCATTAGTCAGAGTACGTTTTGAGGAGGTTCCACCTTATTAGAGAGATAATCACTTGAGGAAATGTGAAAATAGAAAGAGTTCCATCCAAAGATAACATCACAGATCCACTAACAAAGCAGTTATCTCAGATTATCCTTGAGCATCATAGGGGTCTGATGGGGATTCGACATGTAGGTGATTGACTTTTGGTCAAGTGAGAAATTGATAGTCATAGGTGCCTAGCAAGCCAATCACGTGAGTGATGACATGTGTGACATGACATGCACTCTCTTTACTTATTATTATTATGGTATTTTATCGTTTTATATTGATTGATGCATAAATATATTGTGATGTTCATGGATTTATGCAATGAGAATCAGATCGTAATAAAATCATGATAATGAGACCGGTTCACCTTTAAACACAGACCCTAAATAATTATGGTCATAGGTTACTGGAGAGGGATATCGAGATAGTCGGACAGACTGGTGTGATGTATACCCATCCATATAATGGAGGCGGTTGGTCTCATAGCTACTCGTGTGGGGACACTAGGGATACAGTGTAGGTGCTCATTAGAGAATGAGTTTATTAATTGATCCACTCACAAAATGCTAGATGGTTGATGATACCTCATTGTCAGACAGTGATTCTATCTTCTTAGTAGTGTACTTGGTCCTTAGACTTAAGATACAAAGGATGTCTTATATGAGTACTATGCTATTTGATATTAAACTTATAGGTTTGAAAGTTTTAGATCTAGCATAACTAGTCATCGAGAGTGGCAGTCAACTTTATGAAGGCTATTGAGTATCGATAGAGGATCATCCACTCTCGATGTTATAAGAGGAATATCCTATATATTATTACTTAAATAAATCTCTAGCTAGGGTTATTTGAATTGATAGAGAAATAGTTCTCCGGGAGAATCCGATTAGAGCGAGAATCGAGTAGAAACCATATGGGTGTGACAGCACTATGTCTGGTATACAGTCTCTAGGATATTAGATAGATGAAGAATTATAGGTACATGATAATTAACAATAGATAGGTCTAAAGAATTAGATTCTCTTGGGGCATGTTGACAGTAAGAAGGGGTAGCCCCTTTTTTATTGTGTAGTGCGTGTTACGAGAAGGATTATGCAGTAATTTGATAAGCATCTTCGTAGCCCTTGTCGTGTGGACCACTACTAGAGAAGAGAACAGTTGATCTCCTTCATTCTCTCCCACATGTCTGCTTCAAAAAATCATCGCATGACATATAGGTACTCTGAAAGTGTTCGAAACCAACTCTAGGCTTATGATAGACATCCTCTCAAACAATATGATCTCACTGATTATAAAATTTTGCAAAGAAAATTATAACATTTTGTCCATATCAATTTTTCTTCTTGTGCCCAATTTGATGATTGGTCTTATAATCTTGATATTGTGATTCATACTAATGCGACAGATTAAGTAAAGTAAAGTTTTTTTTTCCTTTCCTTTTATAGAAAAAGCTTTTATTTTCATTTATTAGGTCTTATTGCCTATGATCTAGTAGCGAGAGAAAACAAAAGGTTACTTACAGAGAAAAAGTATTCTTCAGAAAACCTGTAATAAGTTTCATATATCCGGACATAAGCACACACATATATATACATAATTTTGAAGATACGGTAGTGGGATACATGTCCCGTTTGGTTCACAGGCAACACCCATTAAACACACTGTAAGCCTTAAACAGTAGAAGGGATGAGAATACAAGGAGTTGCAAACAGCTTCAGCTCAGTTTTCCTTGTTATAGTGAGTCCGTAGGTCTCGCTCATGTCCAACTCCTCTGGTTTCCTGCCATCGGGCAGCTTCCAGTCGAAGTAGAGGAGGAGCTGCGCCAAGGATAGGTGTACGGTGGCGAGCCCAAACTCCATTCCAGGGCATATCCTTCTTCCAGCACCGAACGGTAAGTACTCGAAGTTACCTCCTCTGAAATCAATGGATTTGCTTTCAAACCTCTCCGGCCTGAAGCTCTCGGCCTCTTCCCAGTACTGTGGATCTCTGTTGATCGCCCATGCATTGACCAAGACTAGAGTGTCGGCTTCTATCTCGTAGCCGAGCACCTCACACGTCTTCCTACACATTCTTGGTATCAACGTGGTAGGTGGGTGAAGCCTTACTGTCTCCTTAACGATCGACTTGAGGTAGTTCAGCTCCACGACGTCGGTCTCTTGTATCCTGTTCTTTCCCTTCAGCTTTTCCATCACCTCCTTCTGTGCTTTCTTCATTATCTTGGGGTTCCTCATCAGCTCTGACATGGCCCATTCGATCAATGTAGATGAGGCCTGGGTCCCTCCGAGGAACATGTGTTGGAATTTTAAGGGTCACACATGTATAATTAAATGTGTTAAGCCATTATTTTGATTAGCCAAAATTAAAGTGATCTAATTAAAGTAAAGTTATTTGGCTAAAGGACATAATTGTTATGAAAATTAATTGTGTGGATACCATCATGTTCCTAACTTAATGACGAGATAAGTTAGGAATATGAAACTCTTGAAGCATAATTGCATATTCATCAATTATGAATACAATCATAATTGTAGATTCATCAGTTATGACTATAAATAAGGTTATGGTCCCCGGTTGCAGTATCGAATGAAGTTTCTCTTCACCCGTCAAGGAGAAATCTAAAGTTCAAAAGGTACTCTGCAATTGGAAGACCAAATCACCAATCAATTCAGAAAATACTCTAATGGATTCATCAGGTACGCTTCCGTATTAATCTATTTCTTAATTGTTGTAGGATTTCATGCATATTATAATGGATTTGATAAGTTTTATGGAAACATTCTTAATCCCTTATTTTGGATCTATTCGGTTTTGATTCTATAAAACAAATATTTGATCCATATTTGATATGTTGAAAGACCCCAACAAGTGTTATCAGAGCCATCCTACAATGATTGATGAACATTTAAGCTTATTTTCTCATGAATTTTAATTATGTTTTCATCAATATTTTAAAGTAATTTGGTTCTATCATCGTTGGGAAAGATGATAGTTTTATGTAATCATGCTATTTTGAAGTGATTTGGTTCTATTATCGTTGGAAAAGATTATGGATTTATGTAATCATGCTACAGCATGCTTCACATTCAATTCAGTCCCTTTTTCTGATGTAATATCAGTTTAATTTTGGATTATCTTTTCCACTTCGTGTCTTTTCCTATTCATCAATATGCAAAAATTCATTTTTGCACTATAAGGCATAAATTTCTCAAATTCTTTTTGGATTTTATCTAATTAATATGAATTTAATTAATTAGATATTGTTGTAATATTATGTTGGTTTAATAATATTGTTGTAATATTATGTTGGATTAAACATAATATTGGTTCTATAAAGTTGTTTGTTGACATAAATTGAATGATTTACATGCTTTAAATATTTTAGTCAACAATTTGACTAATATGGTCTAAATTCAATTAGTGATTGTTTAATATTAGATTGAGTAATTTAATATATGAAGTCGCCAAAGTGACCTCTCATATATAATATTTCTCATGAAAATATTAAATGTAGTGTGTATTTACATCCATGCGGTAATTATCCGGCCCAAAGGAAGGTTAATGACTGGCAGGATTTTATACATACTTGTAATGGTAAATACGTGATAATTATAAAGTTATACATGTAAATGATAAATCAATCCAAACATGGGTTTTTCATTTGACATGCCTTATTATCAGTATTTGATCATTACAACAAGACTACCACTAGCAATTAATATTGAAGTCCAAAGACAAGATATTAATGTTGCACTTGGTATCTTGAGATGGGTTAAATCATTATTTAAATTTACTTAAGTTTATGGTAATAAATATGAGCATAATCTCTGGTAATCTGTTGTTCTCTTATTTAGGTTCTCTTATAAAAATATCTGCTAACCTCAATTCAGTACTGGTTTTAAACGAAACCAACTTTAAGGGCAAGAAAAGAAAATACAAATATGGAAAGAATGAGGCTGATAAGGACCAAGTACAGAAGAAACAAAATAAGGATGATACTTGTTTCTTTTGCAAGAAATCTGGGCATTTAAAGAAGGACTGTGCTAAATATCATGCTTGGCATGCTAAAAAGGGAACATTCCTTACTTTGGTTTGTTAGAAATCAATTTAACTTTAGTACCTAGAAACACTTGGTTGTTAGACTCCTGTACAACAACTAACATCAGTGTATCAATGCAAGGTTGCCTAAGCTACCGAAGGCCTAATAATGCTGAGAGAAGCATTTATGTGGGGGACAGAAAATCGGTAGATGTGGAAGCTATAGGCACATTTAGATTGTTATTGTGTACCGGACATTATTTGAATTTGAAAGATACTTTTGTTATACCGTCGTTTAGACGAAACCTAATTTTTGTTTCTTATTTGGATAAATTTGGTTATTCTTGTTCATTTGGAAACAATCAGTTTACTTTGTCTTTAAATTCAAATGTGATTAGAACTAGTTCACTTATGACTTATGACAATCTATATTTGCTTGATACTATAGCTTCCTATCATGAATCCATGAATGTGGAATTGCGAGGTACCAAACATGATTGTGAAAGAAAGAGTACAAAGTAAATAAATTTCTATAGAACACTTAGGAACAAACTTTATGTTGACAGATCCTCTCACAAAAGATGTACCACTCAAAGTTTTTTTTCATGAGCATACTGCTCATATGGGTATATCCGAATTTGAGGAAACTTCAATTTAGTGGGAGTCTGTCATATGTTTGTTGTATGTTCTATGCCAGATTCTGTATTTGTACAGACATTTTCTGATCAGAAATAAAGCTTCAATTTATTATACTTTGTACATTATGGCTATTAAAGTTATTAATGATCTCATAAAGATAAAGTTGGACCAGTTGAAAATTGACATGTACAGATCACATTCATGTAATTTTCATGCTACACATTTCATAATTGATCTATGTCATTTGGTTATGTTAATATTAGTGATCATTGATGGGTTTAGCTATGATTGATATAGCAAAGACCGCTTTGGTCCTATATTAATATGGCCAATGGATGAGATTGTTTTGTATGTCCTGTTTAATAATGGCAACAGTTTTGAGCTCATAAAGTATAGCACATTTATAAGGATACATATGTGACTCAGTGGGAGATTATTGGAATTTTAAGGGTCACACATGTATAATTAAATGTGTTAAGCCATTATTTTGATTAGCCAAAATTAAAGTGATCTAATTAAAGTAAAGTTATTTGGCTAAAGGACATAATTGTTATGAAAATTAATTGTGTGGATACCATCATGTTCATAACTTAATGACGAGATAAGTTAGGAATATGAAACTCTTGAAGCATAATTGCAGATTCATCAATTATGAATACAATCATAATTGTAGATTCATCAGTTATGACTATAAATAAGGTTATGGTCCCCGGTTGTAGTATCGAATGAAGTTTCTCTTCACCCATCAAGGAGAAATCTAAAGTTCAAAAGGTACTCTGCAATTGGAAGACCAAATCACCAATCAATTCAGAAAATACTCTAATGGATTCATCAGGTACGCTTCCGTATTAATCTGTTTCTTAATTGTTGTAGGATTTCATGCATATTATAATGGATTTGATAAGTTTTATGGAAACATTCTTAATCCCTTATTTTGGATCTATTCGGTTTTGATTCTATAAAACAAATATTTGATCCATATTTGATATGTTGAAAGACCCCAACAACATGTCCTATAGATAGAATCACGGAATCGACAAAGTTAGATAATGGAACACTGGTTTCATGTACATTGTGGACACCAACGACTACCACAGGAAGTAGCACTTACAAGGATCACACCCTTTATTCCGTCCATGGTCATCGGAACTTCTAGTTCAGATTCGTCTTTAAGCCTTAGCGGCGCATCGATTATGTCCTCCTCCACTTCGGCTACTTTCCGACCTTTGTTCATCTTTGTTGGGCTGATGGCCCATATTCAGCCCATGTGGGCTTTATCAGCCCACAGCCCACACCCCCTCTTAACCTAACCCTAATTAAGATTAGGGAGGTGTGGTGGCTGCGTTTTAGAGGCAAATTAAGGCTATAAAAAGGCACCAACGAGGTAGATCTTTGGAGCCACGAGATTCCAAAGAGAAGAAGGAGAACAAGGCAGAAAAGGAAGAGAAAGAAAGGGAAGAAGACAAGGACAACGCAGAGAGACTATTCTCAATGATCTAGTAGTGTTCTCATCTCAGGTTAGATCAAATCTACAGTAGGCTCTTGCTGTGATTACTTGGGATGTTTTAGATATTGTGGGCAGTGACGTGATCCTTGTATCCCAGTTATTCTCTTGTGGTTGTTGCTAGGGTTTTGGGCAAGAGATTGAGATTTGTACATTCATTATTCTCGTAGTGGATTATCTCTAGTTTGCCCCGTGGTTTTTACCCTTCACATTGAAGGGGTTTTCCACGTATATCTTGGTGTTCCGTTTGATTATGTTTCCATTTTATTCCGCTACATATTTTGGTCTTCTAGTATTTGTTCCTATACAAAGGTTATTCCTGTTTATATCCCCATCAACAGGTATCAGAAGCACCTG